AGGCTGGAGTGAAGTGGCTCACTGCAACCTCTGCCTCCCAGTTCAAGTGAGTCTTGTGCCTCAGCCTCCTGAGTAGCTGGGATTACAGGTGCACACCGCCATGTCCAGCTAATTTTTTTTTGTATTTTTAGTAGAGACAGGGTTTCACCATGTTAGCCAGGCTGGTCTCAAACTCCCGACCTCGGGTGATCTGCCCACCTTGGCCTCCCAAAGTACTGGGATTACAGGTGTTAGCCACTGCACCTGGCCTCAATTTTAGTGTATGTGCTGCTGAAGTAAGCACTGTAGTTTAACTTTCTATGGAAAAATGCTGTTTGTTTATTCTCACAAATGACAACCTAGATTCCTAGACTATCTTTACAGGAAGAGATGATTCTAAGTAGCTGCCATTTCTCTGCTCAGCACTATAGTCACTATAATGATTCTGGTGGTCTCACAAACTACCAAATAGCTTACAGAAATTACAAGCAGATGGAAAAACAAAACAAAATCTGGCACAAACTTAGCTAAGAGATTTTCAGTCTAGGCTGGCTGGCTACCAGTTGTGCAGAAATGTCCCTAGAAGTTTTCACCACAAGCTGTTTCAAGGTCTTGTAATGATTAAAATGCCATATGAACAGATCCATGCCATGAATGATACTCAGGTCACAAGAACTTTCTTCAGTCAGCTTACCACTTCGTTATAATCCAACCATGAAAGAAATGTAGTTCCCCATGGCAAAATACTATTTTCGTTAATGGGAAGATGCTGAAATCAGCTCTACATCTTTTAAGTCCCATGAAAGAGTTGAGATTTTGATAAATGTATTTTAAATCTTTAAATAAAAAGGACATTACTGATAAATTTCAAATTCCTTTATACCGCTTCCCAATTCCATTTTCACACTCCCTTCCCAGTGGTAACCAAAATTGTGAACAATTTCTGTGTCTATCCAATCAATTTTTCTATAAATTTATTTGTATCCACATATAAAAATTTATAAATGACATATTCTATCTTTTTATAACTTGCTCATCATTCAGCATGTTGAGATTCCATTCGTAATGCTAATAATGTAGCTTTAGTTCATTTTTAAACTTTTTTTTTTTTTTTTTTGAGACGGAGTCTGTCTCTGTCGCCCAGGCTGGAGTACAGTGGCGCAATCTCGGTTCACTGCAAGCTCTGCCTCCCGGGTTCACACCATTCTCTGGCCTCAGCCTCCAGAGTAGCTGGGACTACAGGCGCCTGCCACCACAACTGGCTAATTTTTTGTGTTTTTAGTAGAGACGGGGTTTCACTGTTAGCCAGGATGGTCTCGATCTCCTGACCTCGTGATCCGCCCGCCTTGGCCTCCCAAAGTGCAGGGATTATAGGCATTAGCCACTGTGCCTGGCCTCATTTTTAACTTCTAATATGCCATTGTATAAACATATCACATCTTTCCATTCCCCAACTGATGAACATTTTGATGACAGCTCACTTTTGCTTAGAAATGTAAAAGGTAATTTCTGAATATATTCAGAAAAAGAATTCCTATGATGTATGATAAAGTCTTTACTCCACTCATGGGTTCTATTGTGTTAAATGTCCAACAAACATCTGAATGATTACTATGTATTAAGGTACTATACATTAAGATATTGTACTAAGAAGTCATTTTGTAGGTCCAATCTAAAACCCCTTTCTCCGCTGTTGACTTTCATATTGCCTGTTACCTGTCCCCCTCTACATTTATTTACCCCTCCTTCTACCATTAGTATTATATCTGTTTTTTTTGAAATGGAGTCTCGCTCCGTCGTCCAGGCTGGAGTGCAGTGGCGCAACCTTGGCTCAATGCAACCTCTGCCTCCCGGGTTTAAGCAATTCTTTGCCTCAGCCTCATGAATAGATGGGATTAGAGGTGCCCGCCACCATGCCCAGCTAATTTTTGTATTTTTAGTAGAGACGGGGTTTCACCATCTTGGCCAGGCTGGTCTTGTACTCCTGACCTTGTGATCCACCCACCTTGGCCTCCCAAAGTGGGAGCCACCATGCCCGGCCTATATCCTGTTTTAAAGACCAATCCTGGCTGGGTGCAGTGGCTCATGCCTGTAAATCCCAGCACTTTGGGAGGCCGAGGTGGCAGATCACTTGAGGTCAGGAGTTTGAGACCAGCCTGGCTAACATGGCAAAAACCTGTCTCTACTAAAAATACAAAAATTAGCTGGGCGTAGTGATGCATGCCTGCAATCCTGGCTACTCAGGAGGCTGAGGAGGGAGAATCACTTGAACCTGGGAGGTGGAGGCTGCAGTGAGCCGAGATCGTGCCACTGCACTCTAGCCCGGGAGACAGGGCGAAACTCCATCTCAAAAAAAAAAAGAAAAAAAAAAAAAAGGCCTGGCATGGTGGTTCTACTATATATACAAAAATTAGCCAGGCATAGTGGCAGGCTAATTTGTAATCCCAACTACTCAGAAGGCTGAGGTAGGAAAACTGTTTGAATACAGGATGCAGAGGTTGCAGTGAGCCGAGATCATGCCACTGCACTCCAGCCTGGGCGGCAGAATGAGAATGTCTCAAAAAAAAAAAAAGAAAGAAAAAAAGAAAGAAAAAAGACTGCTGGCTGGGCGCGGTGGCTCACACCTGTAATCCCAGCACTTTGGGAGGCCGAGGTGGGTGGATCACCTGAGGTCAGGAGTTCGAGACCAGCCTGATATACATGTAGAAAACCCATCTCTGCTAAAAATACAAAAATTAGCTGGGCGTGGTGGCAGGCGCCTGTAATCCCAGCTGCTTGGGAGGCTGAGGCAGGAGAATTGCTTGAACCCAGGAGGCGGAGGTTGCAGTGAGTCTAGATCATGCCATTGCACCCCAGCCTGGGTAACAAGAGCGAAACTCTGTCTCAAAAAAAACAAAAAACAAAAAACAAAAAAAACCCTGCTGATCCTATACCAAAATCTCCCCTATCATTAAAATACAACCCCCCCAATCCCAGCAAAACCATTCCTGATACCACATGTTGCTATTATCCACTATCTCTCCTCCATTCCTATCCAAACTTGGGTTTGCTGTTTCTGATGCTGTTGATTATTGCTTCCCTGACCCTCTCAACTGTGTCAGCCTCTGTGACCCAGAATTCTCCTTCGGTTGCTTTATTTTATAAATAGAGATGGGGTCTCACTATGTTGCCCAGGTTGGCCTTGAACTCCCGGGCTCAAGCAATCCTCCCACAGCACCTCCCAAAGTGCTGGGATTATAAGTGTGAGCCACCATGCCCAGCCTGTCTCTTCCATTAACAAATAAACACCCAGGAATCTCTTATACTCACCTTTTGATCATCAGGAATTGGTTCCTGGGACTTTAGAAGTGAAGCTCTTTCTTCGTCTACCCAATTGCCCCACTCTTCTGCTGGTGCATTCCAATCAGAGTTGGGATCAGCAGAAGACAGACCATCTAAAATTTAACAGTGTGAATTAGGTGTCTATCATTTTTGCCATAAGTTAAAAGGCAAAAACTAAAAATTCCTTATGTTCAACTAAGCTGTAATTTTAAGTTATTGTTCTGTCTCCCAAACATATTTTAAGAGCCAGAAAAAAAAAGTAACATGATGGTAACAATCTTTATTCAATTTCTGCTAAGCATATCAAATGGTTAAATGGAATTTCTAAGAAATTCCAGAAAATTTATTAGCCATTTGATTCCACTCTCTGATTCCTTTGTTATCAGTCTCCTGAATTTCTTTTCTCTATCCATTTTTAACTTGGTCTAGGACCTGGTTGTTTTCTCCAATTTTTGTAATTGATTTATTTTCTAGGGTTTGGAATTAATTCTTAACAGTAGTACCAAAGTTATAATCCCTACCTGTCATTTTATACTACACCTCTCCTATCCTTATGAGCTTTTCAAAATTAGGTTCTTCAAATTCACCAAGTCATGACAATATTCAATCTCTTATTTTTCCCTCCTTCTTTTAATACTTAACCTGTACTTTCTTATATTTTTCAGATCATTCAATATGTTTTTTTATCCAATTATTTCAAAAGCATTTGAGTAACTTTCAGGGCTTCACTCATCATTTGTTATCAAAAATAAATTTTATTCTAGACTTCTAGATCCCTTTCTTTCACTATAGGAGGCACTAAATTTTTAACTCCTTGAGGAAGCTATCAATGACTTATTCTAAAAGGAAAAACCAGTCTTTGCTTTTACCCAGGTTAAACAAGTAGCTTTCAAAGTTAATTCTTCCCTTCTCTCTCTGCACATTATATACTCCTATATATGTTCCTGTAAATCTACTTATAGTCAGGTTTCATTTACAATGGTTTAAGATGACAAAGGTTAAGCTTTATTTCTAAGTGGTTAACAAGTTGTCCCAACAATGCTTAACTGAAAAATCCAGTCACTTCTCACTAATACCTAATGCTACTTTTATTAAATACTCAATTCTTTCTTTCTTTTTTCCCCGAGACGGAGTCTTGCTCTGTCGCCCAGGCTGGAGTGCAGTGGCATGATCTCGGCTCACTGGAACCTCCGCCTCCCAGGTTCAAGCAATTCTCCTGCCTCAGCCTCCCAAGTAGCTGGGATTACAGGCATGCGCCACCACACCCGGGCTAATTTTCGTATTCTTAGTAGAGACAGGGTTTCACAATGTTGGCCAGGCTGGTCTCGAACTCTCGAACTCTTGACCTTGTGATCTGCCCGACTTGCCTCCCAAAGTGCTGGGATTATGGGCGTGAACCACCACACTCAGCAATGCTCAATTCTTTTCTTTTTTTTTTTTTTTTGAGATGGAGTCTCACTCTGCCACCCAGGCTGGAGTGCAGTGTCACAATCTTGGCTCATTGCAACCTCTGCCTCCCGGGTTCAAGCAATTCTCCTGCCTCAGCCTCCTGAGTAGCTGGGATTACAGGTGTGCATCACCACACCCTGCTAATTTTTGTATTTTTAGTAGAAACAGGGTTTCACCATGTTGGTCAGGCTGGTCTCGAACTCCTGACCTTGTGATCCACCTGCCTCGGCCTCCCAAACTGCTGGGGATTACAGGCATGAGCCACCGTGCCCGGCCTTACTCAATTCTTTTATATGCATTTCAGTCTGTTTCTAGAATTTCTATTCTATTCCACTGATCTATTCCTGGGACAGTGCTATACATAACTCTGCAATATATTTTTGTATCTAGAAGGACAAATTTGTTTGCATTACTTTTATTTAGTACTCTTATTTACTTTTTGCTATTCTTATTTTTCCAGGTGAACTCTATTATTGTTTTTAACAGGGAGGTATAATACATTCTTATGAAGGTTTTAAAACCCACGTTTTGGAAGAATATATAACAATCTGGGAAAATGCTCACAGAAAAAAAAAATCATAGACAAAACTGTCTACACAGTATGATCTCAAATTTATATGAGGAAGAGACAGAAGAAAATAAAACATTATATATATAATATATATATTTTGTCTTAGTTTAAGAGACAGGGTCTTATTCTGTCACCCAGGCTGGACTGGAGTGGTATAATCATAGTTCACTGCAGCCTTAACCTCCTGGGGCTCAAGTGATCCCCCTGCCTCAGCCTCCTGAGCAGCTGGGACCACAGCCGTGTGCCACCATGCCTGGCTAATTTTTAAATTTTTTGTAGAGAAGGGGTGTCACTATATTGCCCAGGTTGGAATAATAAATATATTTTAATAGTGAAATTACATCTATCCAATCCTTATTAAGCACTTACTATGTGCTAGAACTTGAGCTAGGTAGGTACTAGAGATATAAAAATAAGTAAAATAGAATCCCTCTGCACATGCAGCTTGTAGTCTGTCTATTCAGGGGTAAAGATAGGTAAGCTTAGCAAACAATTAAATACAGAGTGATAGATTCTGCCATGAGGGCTGTGGAAACAGAGAAGAGCTAAGCTAGTGGAGGACAGGGAGAGACAACATAAGAATTTATAGTCTAGTGGACGAAAAACATGGAACAGGTGATTACAAGTGTGAAATGTGTTACAAAAAAGGAAGTTCCTTCCTGTATTTCTAAATTCACCACCATGAGCAAGTATCTGGAGTATTACATAGTAACACAGAGGCGAAGAGCATGGGCCTTCACATCAAACAAATGTACATTTGACTATTGTTCTACCACTTAATAAAAAGATGATTTTGGTTAAGTTTCTTAATGGGCTCTATTATCAACTTCATAGGATCGCTGAGAGGATTATATGAGATACATGTAAAGCAATTCATGGCAATGCAGTAAGCACTCAATAAGTGGTAGCTATTGTTTTTATTATCACTGATGATATTAAAACCAGTTTCTAATCTATAAGGCATGTACAGCTAAAAATTTATTTCTCACAATTCTGATGAACCTCTCAGTAAGATATACTTCATATGTAAGATAAACTTCAATTTAATCTAGTAGATGTCTAGAACCAACTACTCATCTTATACTAAGCATTCATTAATAATACATTTAGGAGGTTCACATACCAAAGCTATCATTGGTTTTGCTTAACTCTCACAGATAAGAAACCCAGATTTTGAAAACTGCTGTCCATAAGCCATGTCTCTAAGACTTCTTGCCAGAAAAGAAACTATTAAGTAGAAAAAAGTTTAGGCAACTGAGTGGGCAATATACCAACATTTCACCCATCTTCTTAATACATGTCGTGGGAGGTGGAGGTGAAAAATAAAAATCAAGTAAAATGCTTAGTAAAAGTATTTTTTTGACAGGGTCTCGCTCTATTGCCCAGGCTGGAGTGCAGTGGCAAGATCATGGCACACTGTAGCCTAGACTTCTCAGGCTCAAGTGATCCTCCCACTTCAGACTCCTGAGTAGCTGGGACTACAGGCATGCGAACCATGCCCAGCTAATTTTTTTTTGTAGAGATGGGGTCTCACTATGTTGCCTAGGCCGGTCTTGAATGCATGGACGCAAGACATCCTTGCACCTTGGCTTCCCAAAGTGCTGGGATTACAAGTGTGAGCCATGGCACCGGCCTGAGTAACTAATTCTTAAGATTCATAGGCCTAATATACTAAAAAACTTCTTAGACATAGTTCCCTTAAAAATGATTCACAGTATAGTTTGCTTCAATTATAATCTCTCATCTCTAAAGTTTCCCATTAGTCTGCCAATGTCTTTTCAAAGAGCCATACTGGTTTTCTTTTCAAAAGGGTAAGGAATTTGTCTCTCCATTTAATTCGCTTATGGAATAATGTTTTAGGTTTAAGCATCTCATGGCTGGTCTTTGGTTGTCAGCTGTTTCTTGTCAGAACTTAATTCAACGTAAACTTTAATAACTTTTTAATAAAAGAAAACAATCATGTTAGAAAGACATTCTCCAGTGTTAACCACACTGGGTTAGTTAACCACATTGGGTAGACTTATTTTGCCACCAGAAGCACACCAACAGCAGAAACAGCAGCACTTACTGGATATTTATTATATTTATTATATGTGAGGCAGTGTTCTAAGTGCTTTATATGTATTAACTCATTTAATCTTCTCAGCCGTACTGTTGGGGAGGAATTACTATTTTTACAGATGAGGAAATTGAGGCATAGAATAATCACGTAACCTGCGTAAGGGCAAAGGCAAGGAAGTTAAGATTGAAACCCAGGTAGTCTGTCCTGAAAGCTCATGCTCTCAACCACTCCATTATGCTGCAGTGAATTCATTCACTCCTGTGTGCCAAGAAAAAGTTCTATTCAACATCTGACTTTTTACATGGGTTACAATAATGCTGTTCCTTTATGGTTAAGATAGTAATGGATTAATGTATGTCTTCAACCTGGAGGGTCAATATATTAATTGTATCATACTGTAAATGTAAATCTAACATAATATACTTTGTGGATTAGTAATCTCAAATACTAAATCATTCATTTTGGAAATTCAGAAGCAATAATTAAATTCACTGAGCACCAATAATAGAGCAGAATTAAAGATGGTGACACAGAAAATAAAGTTTACAGAGAAAACGTTGAAGAAAAACTCTGGACTTAAAAAGACTGCCAATACAGCATAACAAACTTGAGGAAGATGGTGTTTCTGATACATATTACTTTGATTAAGTACAGAATCCTGTGGATACATGTTTTAAAAATCTTTTATTTTAGCAGCCAATCATGTTTTTCACATTCAAAGTATCTTAATATGGATAAAATAAAAAGTGGATCTATTCTGTCCAGACAGGAAAGCCTGGAGACCTGTCCACTCAATTTTCCTCTGCCTCAATCCACAGCAGCCCAAGATACCTTTCTGCTTTTCCTATAGTCACTCCTATCATTGTTATAATCACTCCTCAATTCTATTCTGCATGTAGCTGATAATTCTTTCAAAGCACAAATACATGTTTTTTTTTTCTCCCAAAAATAGTGCTTTCACATCCTTGTAAAACCTTGGATTTAAATACTTCATACACAGTCAGCCCTGCGTATCCACAGGAAAAAAAAGAATGAACTGTGCCTGTACTGAATATGTACAGACTTTCTTTTCTTGTCATTATTCCCTAAACAATACAGTATAACAACTATTTACACCATATTAGGTACTACAAGTAATCAAGAGATAATTTAAAATATATGGGAAGATATATGTAGGTTATATGCAAATACTATGCCATTTTATCATAGGAGACTTCAGCATCTGGGGATTTTGGAACCTGAGGGGGGTCCTGGAATCAACCCCCCATGGATACTGACAGATGACTGTAATTTACAGAGCTTTCATGTTCACCCATTACCTCATTAAAACCTCATAACAACCTATGAAAACAGATATGACACGTTATTTGCTCGATTTTACAGCTCCCAGATAAGTGACAAAGCCCAAACCATATGAGGTACTACATTTTAGAGTCAGGACTAAAATTCATATCTACTGTCTAAGCTAGTACTGAAAACCCCCAGCTCCCTAATCTTTAGCCAGCAATTCAAGGCACGGCACTTTACAATATGGTCCTCCCTGATCTTTCTCCCCTCATCTCCCTTAATCTGTAAAAACTGTGCTTTAACCACATGTCGCAAGCTTACCTTGATGATTACTATCATCACCAAGCCTGTACCAGAGAGTGGTTAAGAGCATGAACTCTGGAGCCAGACTAGCAAGGTATGAATACCACCTTCCTCCATTTAACTAACTGTGTGGCCTGGGGAAAGCTAGATAACTTTCCCTTGTCACAGTTTTTTCATCTGGAAAGTGTGGAAACAAATAAAACCTACCACACAGAAATGTTTTAAGCATTAAATGAGAAATAAAATCCAAAAGACTAAAACCAGTACCTGGCACACAGTACAGTGTTTTTATTGTCATTCTTATTACTACCGAGCACCTATGTATAAAGGCTTTCACTGGGTCCTGAGTGTATAAAACAGTACTAGTCCCTATTTTCAGAGGGTTCTTAACTCTACTTGGAGAAGCAAAACATATGCTTAAAAATGGTGGAAAACCCCACAGGGAACATATAAGTGCTAACAGTAGAAAACAGTAAATAGTAAAAAAGGATGTGAAATAAAAATTCAGAGAAAGTAAATTTTGAGATTTAGGTTTGTGAGGGAAAAACCTCGTATTTTTGGTTTTTTTAAATGAAGACGGCATGAACTTTCTGAACATACAAACCATATTCTTCCTTTCTAAAATGAGTTTTCCTTTAACTAAACTTCTGTTGGCAACTGGGTTAGGAAAGTAGTTTTCCACCACCACAAAAATGTGTGTACACTTCACAAATACAAAGCCATTCCTGTATATTGAAGTCAGTCTATTATACTACCTAGGAGGAGAAACAGACATTCATTTAAAACAAAAAATTTAAAAACTAGAAATATTACAGAGCAACCAGAAGAAAACTTTATGTTTAAATATTGCCTCAATTATGAAAATTCAGTTTTAATTCTACAGGTATTCAATAATCAGGTTTCAAGTAGTACATTTGGTATTAAATTATATTATGACCTTTAAAGGTGAGAAATTAGAATTAAAATTAAAACATAAAGCATGAATTCAGGGTGCTAGAAAGAAAATTCTGAAAAAAATAACTGATAATTTTTAAAAGGACATACTTAACCCAGACCATTCATCATCGATATAGGGTTGATTACGGCTAACATCCCACTGATAATCAGAAGTGGTAGACTGAGAAACTGGCTCAGCAGTAGACCCTTAAATGAAAAACGAATGCAATAAAATTAAAAATGGAATTTCCTAATGGTGTTTCATAACAATAGTTCTATACTTTGACACGGAGACTTTATTTTAAAAATTTCTCCTAAAAGGAAAAATTCAGACATTAGAAAAAGAGTTAAGTTAAAAGGAAAAGTAGAATTGAGGGTAATTTTAGATTAACTATGATAATCACTTGATCAAATTCAATGATCAGAAATTTATGTTTTCCCTAGCACCAATCCATTAGATTTTGTGTTTTGTATTACACATCAACTCGTTACCTACAATTTTCTTTTTTTTTTTTTTTAAGACAGGATCTTACTCTGTCACTCAGGCTGAAGTGCAGTGGCATGATCATGGCTCACTGCAGCCTCAACCTCGCAGGCTCAAGAGATCCTCCTACTTCAGCATCCCAGGCAGCTGCTAGCACAGGCTTGTACCACCATGCTGGGCTTTTTAAATTTTTTCTTTTTTTGAGACAGAGTCCCGCTTTGTCGCCCAGGCTGGAGTGTAGTGGCACAGTCTTGGCTCACTGCAATCTCTGCCTCCTCGGCTCAAGCAATCCACCTACCTCAGCCTCCCAAGTAGCTGCGACTACAGGCACACATTACCATACCCAGCTAATTTTTGTATTTTTTGTAGAGATGGGGTTTTACCACATTGCCTAGGCTGGTCTTGAACTCCTAGGCTTAAGTGATCCTCCTGCCTTGGCCTCCCAAAGTGCTGGGATTATAGGCATAAGCCACCATGCCTGGTTTCCTGGCTTATTTTTTAATTTTTTTTTGTAGAGATAGGGTCTCCCTGTGTTGCCCAGGCTGGTCCTGAACTCCTGGCCTCCAGGGATCCTCTTCGGCCTCCCAAAGTGCTGGGATTACAGGCATGAGCCACTGTGCCCTGCTTACAAATTTCAAGAAGTCAAAAAAAGTTGTTTTTTCCTTCTTCTTAATGGAAAATAAAACACAATAGAAATCTCTGCCATCGATCATTTTAGTCCTGGATGTTTCAGGGCTATGTATCCTCAGAACCCTGAAAGAGGGAACTAGAAAATGTCTGAGTTAGCTAGAATGTTTTGGCTAAGAAACATTAAAAAAATAGGTGGTTATCTAGAGAGGTGAGGCAGAGAGAAGCCAAAGAGACAAGAAGAGTTGCAGGAGGTCTAGAGACTAAGTTCAAGTGCATTTAAAGAAAACAAAATATTATTTCATAAGTTTTGTCTGTTTTTGTTTTTTCTCAGGTGAGGGGAGTAGGTTGGGTGAGAGTGGGTTCACACAGTCTTTTAGGAACCTGATGAAAGCTGTGGTAGTCTACTGTCCAGAGCTTAACACAAAATTTTGCATATAGTTTTGGGGGCATATGAGTCCACTGATGCCAGGTCAAATCCCTTGCTTTATAGATATAAATTCATTTTAGGACGTAAATGTAAAGCAGTAGTTCTCCATCAGGTGCGCGCATGCACGCGCGTACACACACACACACACACCCCTTTTGAATCGGAATTTACTTGTGTACTGGAGTCCTTAGATGACTCTGATATGTATTTTGGATTCAGAGCCACTATATAAAGAAATGGTTAGGAAAAAAAGATACTTGATTAGTATAAAAGTGTTACACACAATCACGTCCTCCTACCACAGTCCTTACTAATTTATAAATTTCTTCTTGGTTACAGATGATCTTACCAGCAGCATTCCACTAATATATTATCCGCTTGATATATACTCTCTCTCTCTATGTATGTTTAACATGTATATTTTAATGTAAACTTTAACCAACAGAGTAACCCTATAAAATTCACATGTAATAAATATATTATCTGCTTAGAAGCAGTACTGTAACACTGGTGCTATTCCTTTAGCAGCCCACATTGCTTTCTCTGCATATATGAAGGGAATAGCATGTGTGTTGTACAGAGTCATCAAATGAGGAAGCAATAAACTTGTACCTCTGGAACTGAAATGTGGTCTATGAGATCAGAGTTTAACAAACTATGACCCACAGACCAAATCCAACCATCAGGTTTTTAATATGGCCCATGAGCCAAGAATAGTTCTTACATTTTTAAATGATTAAAAAAAAAATCAGGCCAGGCGCGGTGGCTCACGTCTGTAATCCCAGCACTTTGGGAGGCTGAGGTAGGCAGATCATGAGGTCAAGAGATGGAGACCATCCTGGCTAACACGTTAAAACCCTGTCTCTACTAAAAATACAAAAAATTAGCCGGGTATGGTGGTGTGTGCCTGTAGTACCAGATACTTGGGAGGCTGAGGCAGGAGAATCGTTTGAACCAGGGAGGCAGAGGTTGCCGTGAGCTGAGATTGCGCCACTGCACTCCAGCCTGGCGACAGAGCGAGACTCCGTCTCAAAAGAAAAAAAAATAATAATAATAATTCAAAAGAATAATATTTTAGAACCAGACAGTCATTTGCTTACTGTCTCAGGTTGCTTTCCTGTTACAACGGCAGGGTTGAGTAACTGCAACAGAGGCTGCATGGCCCACAATGCCTAAAATGTTTACCATCTGTCCCTTCATACAAAAAGTTTGCTGATCCCCTTTGTAGGTTAGTGATTCCAGACACTGTGGAACTACAAAATTAGTAAACTGGGTCCACGAATTCCAAACGAAACAATGTCTCCCATAACTTTTATATATATATATATGTTTTAAGACAGAGTCTGTCACCCAGTCTGAAGTGCAACGGAGCACTCACGACTGATTGCTCATTGTAGCTTCAACCTCCCGGACCAATGCGATCCTCCCACCACAGCCTCCTGAGTAGCTGGGACCACAGGCAAACACCACCATGCCTGGCTAATTTTTTTAAAAAAATTATGTAGTGATGTAGTTGCCCAGGCTGGTTCTGAACTCCTAGGCTCAAGTTATCTTCCCACCTCAGCCTCCCTATGTGCTGGGATTACAGATGTGAGCCACCACACCTGGCCTCCCATATTTATGTAATACTTGTTAAATACATATAGCTTCTATATGATTAACAAAACATATATCCATTTAAGTAATGCAGAATTAACAGTAGTTTATTAGTAATCATGTATTTTATAAATCAACAGATACTTAAGAGTTATTATGTGGGAATCTATAACCTGAAAGGGTTAGTTTTAAACTCATGATGAGTAACGGTGAACAGAAGTAAAATGTCAAATTTTAACTAAAAGTATGGTAGGGCTACCTTAGCAAGAGAAGAATATGAACCTGAAGGGAAGGCCTTGCATGTGTATTTGTCTGTGTGCCAATGCACTGTCAGTGATCTCAAGCTACAGAATCCTTACTCCCCTAGAGAGAGGAATTAAGCCATTTGCACATAAGAATTTATGTCTTCTCTTCTTGTTGTAAAGGCCTCTGCCACTTTATAATACCTGCTGTTTATATTGATAGCAGTACTTGATGTTGATTAGCTCTTCAAATAACAAGCACTAAAATTAAACAAATGTTTTTGTTAGCTGAACAAAAGACTGTTTTCACATACCAGAAACAGCAGAGTTAAGTGTGAGAGATGCAAAAGAAGCAGAATTCTGTTCAGAGGTATTCATTCCCCTATCCACACTAGACCAAGCAGCTGTTAAAATAAAAAACATCACTTGGAACCTTCAATTTGCAATCAGATTTGAAAGATATGTAAAGATTTAAAACTATGAGAATATTTAAAGATAACCTTAGAAATGAGAATCACTTAATATAGCAATAGCTACTATTTACTGAATATTTATTATGTAGCTGGGCCCCTTACACCAACCACTTCTAATCCTTACAGCAACTTTGCTAGGCAGTTTTGGAGCAATTATGTGACTTGCTGATAGCTAGAAAACAGAGGAGCCACGAATGCAACTGAAGTCAATTCCCAAAGCCTATGCTCTTTTCCACTGTACCAAGCTGCATTATTATCTATCATAATTAAGCAGCTACTTTGGGATAGCACTGAACTTGGTACTTGACTTTCAATACAACAAATCCTCACAATTACATAAGTATGAGGTTCATACAGGTTAAATAACTAGCCTCAATATTTTCAAGACATTTCTTTCTTATTTTGAAGAACGTAAACCTCCATGAGATGAGTCACATCTGTCTCTTTTCAGTGACCCATTACAAACCTAATTGAATATAGTTCCCTTTCAATTTCAATAAAGGTCCTAGTCTATCTAGGCAGGAACTCTTAATTTGCTTTTTAATATTATCTGTAACAACATTAAGCAAATACCATCTAATTTATGTCCTAATTATGAAATGCTATATAGTTTTTATAAGTAAATTGTAGGCTGGGCGGAGTGGCTCACGCCTGTAATCCCAGCATTTTCTGGCGCCGAGGTGGGCCCATTACGAGGTCAGGAGTTCAAGACCAGCCTGGCCAACATGGTGAGACCCCATCTCTACTAAAAATACAAAAATTAGCTGGCCATGGTGGCACGTGCCTGTAATCCCAGTTACTGAGCGGAGGTTGCAGTGAGCCAAGATCGTGCCAAGATCGTGCACTCCAGACTGGGTGACAGAGCAAGCCTCTATCTAAAAGAAAAAAAAAAATTGCAGATTGTAAATATCCCAAAAGGTCACACAGTTCCTAACATTACTCCATAAAATTCAACCATTTCTTTTACCAAATATGAAAGGATGCTTCACAGCATAGAAATTAATGCTTTCTTCTTTGCTGAAAATGAGAGTGGGAATTTTGGGAAGGTCTCTTTTTTTTCTTTTTGAGATGGAGTCTTGCTCTGTTGCCCAGGCTGGAGTGCAGTGGCACAACCCTGGCTCACTGCAACCTCCGCCTCCCGGGTTTAAGCAATTGTCCTGTCTCAGCCTCCCGAGTAGGTGGGATTACAGGCACGTGCCACCATGCCCAGGGAATTTTTTGTATTCTAGTAGAGATAAAGTTTCACCATGCCCCCCAGGCTGGTCTTGAACTTCTGGGCTCAGGTGATCTCCCCGCCTCAGCCCTGCAAAGTGCCAGGATTACAGACATGAGCCACCACACCCAGGCAAGGGAATATCTCTTTCAAACAAGTTTTGATACTTCTACACAATTTTTCAATATAATGGGGAGGAAGGGAGAGCAAGCGTATAAACAATGTAATTAAATGATCTAGAGTTTGATTTTTAAGGGTATTAGCTTTAAAAGAGAGGGGCTGGGGTTGGCGGCTCACGCCTGTAATCCCAGCACTTTGGGAGGTCGAGGCAGGTTGATTACCTGGGGCTAGGAGTTTGAGACCAGCCTGACCAACATGGAGAAACCTCGTCTCTACTAAAAATACAAAAGTAGTCAGGCGTGGTGGAGCATGCCTGTAATCCCAGCTACTCAGGAGGCTGAGGCAGGAGAATTGCTTGAACCTGGAAGGCAGAGGTTGCGGTGAGTCAAGATTGCACCATTGCACTCCAGCCTAGGCAACAAGAGCGAAACTCCATCTCCAAAAAAAAAAAAAGAAATATTTTTCTACTTACATACTAAAAAGTTTCTAGTGTCTATTGCTCCCTCAAATTGGAAGAGAGAAAAATATCTGCAATAAGCATGAGAGAAAAAATTGTATGTTTAATGCACAAGAAAGTATAACTAGATTTAAAAAATAAAACAGTAGGCAGATGTGGTGGCCCACATCTGTAATCCCAGCACTTTGAGAAGCCGAGGCAGGTGGATCACTTGAGCCCAAGAGTTTGAGACCAGCCAGGGCAATATGGCAAAACTGCGTCTCTACAAAAAATACCAAAATTAGCCAGGTGTGGTGGCACATGCCTGTGGTCCCAGCTACTAAGGAGGCTAAGGCGGTAAGATCATTTGAGCCCTGGAAGTCGAGGCTGCAGTGAGCAATAATCACACCACTGCACTCCAGCCTGGACAACAGAGTGAGACCCTGTCTCAAAAAATTAAAAACAAAACAAAACAAAAAAAACACAAAGAGTTCATTAGACAAATGGGAAAATGACACGAACAGACAATTCATAAAAGAAATAAAGATGACCAAGAAAGGGCCGGGCATGGTGGCTCACGCCTGTCATCCCAGCACTTCGGGAGGCCAAGATGGGCGGATCATGAGGTCAGGAGTTCGAGAACAGCCTGGCCAACATGCTGAAGCCCTGTCTCTACCGAAAGTACAAAAATTAGCCGGTTGTGGTGACAGGCCCCTGTAATCCTGGCTACTCAGGACACTGAGGCAGGAGAACCACTTGAACCTGAGAGACGGAGGTTGCAGTGAGCTGAGATTGTGCTGCACTCCAGCCTGGGCGACAGAGTAAGACTCCGTTTCAAACAAAAAAACAAACAAAAAAATAAATGACCAAGTTAGTTATGGAAAAATTTTCAATCTCATTAGTGATTCTAAAAAGTTAACCAAAATAATTTATGTACTTTTTGCTTATCGAATTAGAAAAGGCGAAAAAAAAAAAATCCCCAACCTTGGTAAGTATATGATAAATGGGCACTTACACTGATGCTTTGAGTATAAATTAGAACAACTCTCTTAGAAAATACTTAGGCACTATGTAGTAGAGCATCACAAACATTCATATTCCCTTTAATCCAATATCACTCACAAGACTCTGTCCTTAAGAAATAACTGCCAAACATGGCCAGGTGTGGTGGCTCACACCTATAATCCCAACACTTTGGGAGGCTGGGGCAGGAAGATCACTTGAGGTCAAGAGTTCGAGACCAGTCTGGCCAACATGGTGAAACCCCATCTCTACTAAAAAAAAATACAAAAATTAGCCGGGTGTGGTGGTGTGCGCCTGTAATCCCAGCTACTCGGGTGGCTGAGGCACGAGAAATGCAAATGCTGAAACTCAGGAGGCAGAGGTTGTAGTGAGCTGAAATCATGCCACTGCACTCCAGCCTAGGTAACAGAGTGAGACTCCATCTTAAAAACAACAACAAAAAAATCCCAAACACATATATTCAGTAAAACATTATCTACAACGGGTTAAAAAAAGGAAAATTGGCTGGGCGTGGTGGCTCACGCCTATAATCCTAACACTTTAGGAGGCGAGGTGGGCGGCTCACTTGAGGTCAGGAGTTTGAAACCAGCCTGGGCAACATGGTGAAACCCCATCTCTACTAAAAATACAAAAAAAAAATTATCTTGGTGTGGTGGCGTATGCCTGTAATCCCAGTTACTTGGGAGGCTGAGGCAGCAGAATTGCTTGAACCCAGGAGGCAGAGGGTGGTGTGAGCCAAGATCACGCCATTGCACTCTAGTGTGGCAGCAACAAAGTGAGACTCCATCTCAAAAAATAAAAATAAAATACTTCTTGAATAATATGGGAATAGTTAAGTAAATTATGCTAACATTATAGGGCCATTAAATATACTTACAAAAAGTAAGGAAAATGTTCATGTTACAATGTTAAGTGGGGACTAGGGGAGACATAAATATGCACATTCAATTTGAGTTACATCAAAAACAAAAATACTAAAGCAAAACTACAGGCCGGGCGCAATGGCTCACGCCTGTAATCCCAGCACTTTGGGAGGCTGAGGCTGGCAGATCACCTGAGGTCAGGAGTTCAAGATCAGCCTGGCCAACACGGCAAAACCCCGTCCCTACTAGAAATAGAAAAATTAGTCAGGTATGGTGATGCATGTCTGTAAATCCCAGCTACCTGGGAGGCTGAGGTAGTAGAATCGCTTGAACCCGGGAGGTGGAGGTTGCAGTGAGCTGAGATCGCACGACTGCACTCCAGCCTGGGAGACGGAGCGAGACTCCATTAAAAAAACAAACAAACAAAAAACAGCAACAACAAAAAACACTATACACAGTTGCGGACAGGAGAAAGGGAGGGAGAAGGAATATAAACAACAGTGGTTGTCACTAGGTGGCACAGTGATAACTGTGGGATTTTCCTTATCATTTTGCAGTTTCCCACGTGTAATGTGGATTTCTTTTCTATAATACACACACAGACACACACACACACACACGAAAATTAACTTGCTTTTAACTTAATGGCTCTCAACAGAAATAAGCTTCTCAACTATTGGTCTTTATATTAAAATCCAGAGGAAAATTTAATTATCAATGGGCACTTTGCAGACTGTAAAATACTCTGTAAGTGGCTGTTATCAACTATATTTCCATTTACTATTTTTATTTAGACTCAACAGAATTGCTGAAATTAATCAAAAAGTCTACTCACACATTACATGTAACCCACCACTAAGAATATATAATTACACCAGTTAGCCACGTTGATAATCAAATGTGATAAAGTATGTGAAAGCACTCTGCAAAGAGTAAATGATAAATGTTATTTACTTATTTAGTTCCCACCTTCCTCTACAAAAAGGATGTGAGATGAGTTAATTATTACTATTATTTCTGCAGAGCAGTACTTATTTTTCTATTCATAGGATTTTTTCCTATTTCTGAAAAATTAACAATGTACAAGATTAGTAATTTTAAATAAACTTAAATTTTTCTAACACTTCTTACCAATGCCAGAAAATATGGAACGGTCACTCCAACTCCTTCCCCAGTCTTTTCCATTTGCATTAGCATCTCCAGTGTCTTGACTCCAGGCAGATGGCTCAGTTTTCCTCTTTCCTGCAGAAGCAGGTGAAACGGAGTTCCACTTCTCCTCACCTGCACTGATCTGTGAGGAGAGTTTTACAGACTTTTCATTCCAGCCTCCTCCATTGACAGTGAGGTTTTCATTCAATCCTGAAGAAACTTAAAGAAAAGAGAATGAAGATTAAAAAACAGGTACATGACTTCTTAAAACTGGGATATGTTCACATTTCTATGATTGCTTGACTTATATTTATCACTCACTTCCCCTAGTATCCTTTGATCACCAAGGATTGCCTTTTTAATTTAAAAACAGGAGGCTTGAACATAACATATATACTAACAAAGTTGTCAACAGCAGAATGACTTGCTCGAAGGAAGTACAACAGAGCAAACAGGAAAATGACACATATTCTGAATACTCACCCACTAAGAATATGAAGACATCTCCTTAGTTACATGTTCTTTCCTTAATTATTTATGTATATTACATTATGTATCAAGCAATGATTCTAAAACCTGGCTGCACATTAATATTAACCGAAAAATTAATTAACAATAGACTCTGGAGCCTCAGCCCAGACCAATCAAAATCAGAATCTTTGTGGTGGAGCCCACATATCATTATGTATGTATAGTGTAGGTATGTACACATACACGAATACACATAAGTGTGTGTACAGGTAAGTACATGTTTCTTTTTACATATGTGTGTGTACGCGTTGTTTTTTAAAGCTTCCTGGATAACTAATGTGTAGCCAGGGTTGAGAACCATGAGCATGAAGGAAGCTGACAGTGCTAAGAACAAGCACTGAAAAGCCTGAAATGAGGCTGGGCACGGTGACTCATGCCTGTAATCCCAGCACTTTGGGAGGCTGGGGGCAGGCGGATGACCTGAGGTCAGGAGTTTGAGACTAGCCTGGCCAACGTGGTGAAACCCTGCCTGTACTAAAAACACAAAAATTAGCCAGGCGTGGTGGCAAGTGCCTGTAATCCCAGCTACTCACGAGGCTGAGGCAGAATTGTTTGAATCCAGGAGGCGGAGGTTGCAGTGAGCCGAGATAGTGCCACTGCACTCCAGCCTGGGCAACAAGCAAAATTCTGTCTCCAAAAAAAAAAAAAAGCCTGATGCCTGTAATCCCAGCACATTGGGAGGCCGAGGTGTGTGGATTACCTGAGGTCAGGAGTTCGAGACCAGCCTGGCCAACATGGTGAAACTCCATCTCTCCTAAAAAATACAAAAATTAGCCAGGTATGGTGGCTGGTGCCTGCAATCCCAGCTACTCAGGAGGTTGAGGCAAGAGAATCGCTTGCACCCGGGAGGTGGAGACTGCAGTGAGCCAAGACCACGCCATTACACTCCAGCCCGGGAAACAAGGGCAAAACTCCATCTCAAAAAAAAAAAAAAAAAAAGCCTGAAATGAGAAGGTGCTTTTTTCATTTCCAAATTTATTTTACTACACCACTTTTGTTTTCAGGTCAGGCGTAATACTCTACTTAATTCAATCTTTATCATAAATGAGTAAATAAAACATTTTCTATTTATAAAACAATGAAAAACTTTAGGCTATAGTCCATTCATTGTGAAATATTTGAACTGTCAAGGAAGCAGTTAAAACATTATAGGAACTAAGGCTTTTTTTCTTTTCTAAACATACAAGCATCAAGTATTTTATCCGATACATGCTACATTAAACCCAAGCTCAACAAAAATCTTTCTTCTCTACTGACTTAGTAGTGATATAAACAAGATTCAAAATTGCATATAAGCGACTACTGAATGTTTTTATATATGGGGGAAAAAAGACTAGAACATACCAAAGATTGTTAGAAGTGGGAGTGATTTTTCTTTTTATTTATTTTCCAAAATCTCTGGACTGTGATTATGTTACTTTATTAATTAAAAATCATTTTAAGACTTTTTTCTTTCCTTCTGTGTCATTCATGTGAGGAAAGAGATATGTATATAAATTTCTATTTTGACGGGCCTTCAATTTAAGTTATATGTAATTTCTCTCACCCTGAAGTGTAGAATCTCCTTTTCCAGATTTAAAGTTGCTAACTTGAACATTTAGATGAGAATCACCTGGTTAAAATAGAAATAAAATTTATTTAATACTAAATAGGCCACTATGCACATTAAATTAGGAGTAACACATAAATTAATTTTTACTTATTATCTATTATAAATTGCTCCTTCAAGTGCTAAATTCTTCCACTGGAAAAAAGTCAAAAGTTCCCTGTTGGTAAGGAATTGAGTTTTCTGGTTACCATATTCTTAGTCAACTAAAATGCCAATAAAGAACCTGGAAAACTGCTTATGTACAGACAGAGTTTGCTATTCTATAACGGTTATCAAGATTATTTTAAGTAGGAACTGGAGTATTGGGCTCTGTAATTGGATTCAACTTTGCCACCTCTCAACAACACCAGCTGCCTTTTCAACAATCCTGGAAGCAAACACATCAACTTATGAAGAATTTTGCCAGTATTTGGGACCAGGACTTAGGAAATATGGCAAGAGGTGAGAATACACATTATAACACAAAAATACTATTTCTTTGACACTAAAAAGCATAATGATCACAATGTTTAAAAAAACCAGCATGACATAGGATTGTGCTAGCAAGGATGGCATGCACAAGACAGTGAAAAAGAATCAACAAAAATACTAAAGCATAGCTAATATGTAACAGTGAAAATGGGTAAGTAGAAGTCATTGCTGTACCATGGCAATAAATTCCACCAAGTTATCAAGCAAAAAATAAAAGGTAACAAGGCTAAGAAAATGGTCTGGAAACAACTGAGGTGTGGGGAGGTGGGAAGGTCATTAACAAAAAGACAAGGAAGATACTCCAATGCTTTCAAGCAAATTGAACAGTATCACTTTGCAGGCTGGTGTCTCCAGGGTAAAAATGATGGTAATGTAAAGAGCGGGCTACCAAGAAGCCACCAGTATTGGATAGTATGAACATATGAAATATTAATACTTGAGAGAAAGAACATTAGCTCAATCTTTGAAGTTGTGGTCTAGCTCTATCAAACATCTATGGTATTCTCAAAAAGCTGGGGTGATAAGAAATCCAGACACAACCTGTACTAACCAGAACATGCATGATTCATCTTGGAATGAAAGCTCTCAACATGCAAAATGGTGATAAATCATTTCATTTAATAAATGTCTTATCCACTCTAAGGAACGGAGATGCAAGAGAGTTGGGGCAAAGTGATACACACTAGAAAAGTGGCAACATCATTTTCTCATATGACTCAAGGCAGAAAGGCAAATTTTAATTTAATAGGCCATTCATTAGGCAATATGTAACAAGTAACACTGCTGGTATTCGGTAAACCGATACACGGTTCACAATACTCTCATGAAGAAGGGTATATCAGCACAATGATGTTAGCATTCAAAATAGTCAGATTTTGACATAATGATATTTTGTACATCCGAATAAAAGGAGTTTGATTTGATGTACCACTGTCTTATGTTCCACTAATATACCTTTATTCTTCTTGGAACCAACAGGAAATGATGCGGTTGTAAGTTGCTCGGTGGTAACTGTGATGGTATTTTCTATCCCAGGGATAGTTGAATCCAATGAACCAGAATCAGTCAGCACCTTATCACGTTTACGTTGCTGTCGTTTCTCTCTGTGACTAATTTTAGTTTCCCAGGCTCCTGACACAGCCCCAGAAAAAAAATGTTATTCAGTAAGGGGAAGACAAAAAAGTTGTAGTTTTGGGGGAGAAAATGGGGTGGAGCACATAAAATATCATGATAAATTTAGATGTTAAGCTAAAACCAAGAGTGTTGATTATATTAACTCATCCTAAGAATGTGTTCTAATTTCATTATGTTGTTTTAGGCAACTGCTATTATTTATTCTGGTAATTTTTATCAAATCTGTCATCTATGGTTTAGAAAAAGTGATATATATAAGTCATCTTGTCTATCTTTTTTTATCTTGCTAGGTAGAAGTGATAGGAGAGTATTATATATAATCACTAATACATGGGTTTATTAGGTGATGATAATAAATGACTTCTAGCGAATTTTGTACAAAGTCTTTCAGGAATGGTATATTTAAGAACCATGGGGAGAAAACAAACAAACAAACCATAATTCCAGGAGACAAAGACAAGATGAATGACTTTTTAATTGATCAAAATACTGAGCTTGACTTTAAATTTCAAGGCAGTTCTCTTCAGAAAAAGCACTACTGGATCCTTAACAAAAGTGTTTCCTAACAGTGTCACAGCTCTATATATTAAGGTCTACAGTAATAAAAAAAGAGCTAAATACAAAATAAAGTAAAACAAATGCAGTTTTTATATAATACACTTTGATAAAAAAAGGATTAAAAAATTTTCTACAGTCCTTTCCCTTGCTCAAGTACCTTCATCAACTTCCTTTCCATCATGGCGTGAACTGTTTTGCACTGCTTTAGCATCTGACTTTGATTTCTTCTTATTTTTCTTTGACTGAAAGTAAAATAGAATGTTACTTAATATTTCATTATGTTTTTGATAAGGAGTCAGTAAAATACATAATGAAATGTATGATGCTGACAACTAAAAAAAATTTAATGTTCGATTTAAAAAACTTAACATATTAAGTGGCAATAATAATCATATGAGGTTACCATTGAGTGAGTGGTTACTATGTGTTAAGTATTCTGTACTCATTTCCTTATGTATTCCTTAAAAGAAACTTGCTGGAGAAGGTATTAGCCCCATTTTAGAGATGAGGAAATGAAAACTCAGAGATGTTAAATATTAACTAAATTGTACCACATCACAATGTTAGTAAACTAAGTCATAATAGGAACTAGGTCTGTCTGGCTCTTCCACATCATGCTAATATAAGTTACATCATAAATAAGGTACTGTAATATGGTGTCAAATATCGAAGCAATAAAATTAAAACCTATTGCAACATGTTCAGATGAAAAATTATGTGATGATTATTGTTTTTGGATTGCATAAAGCAGATTGTTGCTATATCCTATGTATAACAAATTAATGGGTCAATTGTACATAGCAGGTACTATTTTGTCAGTTTCAAAGCAATGTTAAAATACCTAGGATTTGTATATAGATGTTTAATAATAGATAAAATACCTATACACAGACAAGCTATGGCTGTTTTCGAATGATCTTCCAATTCCCTTCTGCTAATATTGTTTTATCCTTTCAAAAGCTTGCTAAAAACGAAATAAGCCATAATTTCTGTATTTAGATAAGTGCTTCCAAAAGAGAATTAATGTTTATACAATAGTATTTTTATACTTTGTATTCACTTATTTAGCTATTTATTGACATCAGCTATGTTTATGTATTACCGCACGCTCTTTTTTTTTTTTTTTTCCGAGATGGCGTCTTGCTCTGTCACCTAGGTTGGAGTGCAGTGGCGCGATCTCAGCTCACCGTAACCTCCGCCTCCCGGGTTCAAGCAATTCTCCTGCCTCAGTCTCTGGAGTAGCTGGGATTACAGGTGCCCGCCACCACACCTTGCTAATTTTTGTATTTTTAGTAGAGACAGGGCTTCACCACGTTGGCCAGGCTGGTCTCGAACTCCTAACCTTGTGCTCTGCCCGCCTTGGCCTCCCAAAGTACTGCACACTATCTTAAGAGGCAGTAAATGAATTTGAGCAAGTGAGTAAGCAATGACAGAAAATTGCTTTTCCTACCAATAAAAAACCTGCATATATTCTCAAGTGACATGATCTCTTGAAAGCGATTAAAAATTGTCTTTGACAAAAGATTACATTAAAAAACTAATTTTTTTTTACTGACCTCATAATTGATTTGCGTTTGTTTCATTGCATGTTCTCATCATTAACATGTATGTTTAATATACTGTTTTATTACAGTATGTATATTTAATATACTGCTTTATTACATGTACCAAACTAGACTCACATCCACTTAAGAAAAAAAGATATGTGGAGATATCATCCACATACCATAATATTCACCCTTTTAAAGGTGCACAATTCAGTGGTTTTTAGTATATCTGAAGTTGCACAACTATAAAAATTATTTATTTTTTTTGAGATGGAGTCTCGCTCTGTCACCCAGGCTGTACTGCAATACCGTGATCTCAGCTCACTGCAACCTCTGCCTCCCAGGTTCAAGCAATTCTCCTGCCTCAGCCTCCCGAATAGCTGGGATTACAGGTGCCCACCATCACACCTAGCTAATTTTTGTATTTTTAATACAGACAGGCTTTCACCATGTCGGCCAGGCTGGTCTCGAACTCCTGACCTTCAGTGATCTGCCTTGGCCTCCCAAAGTGTTGGGATTATAGGCGTGAGCCACTGCTCTCAGCCTCAAAATTATTATTTAATCCCAAAAAAGAAACTCTGTAATGATTAGTGTTTACTCCCAGCTTCTCTTTTCTCACTGACAACCATGATTCTACCTTCCGTCTTTGTCTTTACCATAGCCACTCTTAAGTAAAGATAACATATTGAACGTCTGTCAACTACAGTTGAGCAGAGGCAGCAAACTTTTTCTGCAAAGGACCAAACAGTAAATATGTTAGGCTTTGCAGGCCGTAGTAGAGTTTTGGAGCAACCACACAACTCTGCTCATATAGCATGAAAGTAGTCACATATAATTTATAAACAAATGGGTGTGACTATGTTCCAATAAAATTCTATTTACAAAAACAGGCATCTGGCTGGATTTGGGGTGTCAGAGTTTGCTATCCTTGGTCTAGAGCAGTGCTGGCCAACAGAAGCATAATGCAAACCACATATATATTTTTAAAAATTTCTAGTAGACACATTTTTAAGTTAAAATAGGTGACAATTTTAATATTTAACACAACGCATCTATAATACTGTCATTTCCACATGGAACTCATATTAAAAAAGAAACACAATAAGACAGTATGTAAAAGAAAACAAAGTAAGTCTTCGAAATCTGGTATGTATTTTACACTTAACAGCTATCTCAATTTGGACTAGTTGCTTTTTATTATTATTATTTTTTGAGACAGAGTTTCACTCTTGTTGCCCAGGCTGGAGTGCAATGGCACGATCTCAGTTCACTGCAACCTCTGCCTCCTGGGTTCAAGCAATTCTCCTGCCTCAGCCTCCTGAAAAGTTGGGATTACAGGGCATGCGCTACCCTGCCCGGCTAATTTTGTATTTTTAGTAGAGACAGGGTTTTTCCATGTTGGTCAGAGTGGTCTCAAACTCCTGACCTCAGGTGATCCACCTGCCTCGGCCTCCCAAAGGGCTGGGATTACAGGTGTGAGCCATCGCGCCCAGCCAGACTAGTCACATTTTAAATGCTCAATATCCACATGTGGCAAGTGGCTACCATATTGGACAGTGCAGGTCCACAGGAACTGAAGTAGGTATTCCCATTTTACAGATAGAAACTGACGCCATAAAAAGTGTTTAATATTGCTAAGTGTGGTGGCTCACACCTGTAATCCCAGCAATTTGGAAGGTTGAGGTGGGAGGATCACTTCAGCTCAGGAGTATGAGACCAGCCAGGGCAACACACAGGGAGATTTTATCTCTTAAAAAAATCAGTGGGGGTGGTGGCATGCACCTGTGGTTCCAGCTACTTGCGAGGCTGAGGTGGGAGGATCACTCAAGCCTGGGAGGTTGAGGCTGCAGTGAGCTGTGATCATGTCACTGTATTCTAGCTTGGGTAACAAGGTGAGATCCTGTCTCAAAAAAACCCCAAAAAACAAACAAACAAAAAACAAAGAAGAGTGTCTAAGAGGCTGGGCGCGGTGGCTCACACCTGTAACCCCAGCACTTCGGGAGGCTGAGGCGGGCAGATAATGAGGTCAGGACATCGAGACCATCCTGGCTAACATGGTGAAAACCCGTCTCCACTAAAAATACAAAAATTAGCCAGATGTGGTGGCAGGCGCCTGTAGTCCCAGCTACTAGGGAGGCTGAGGCATGAGAATCACTTGAACCCAGGAGGTGGAGATTGCAGTGAGCTGAGATTGCGCCACTGCACTCTAGCCTGGGTGACAGAGACTCCATCTCAAAAAAAAAAAAAAAAAAAGAGTGTCTAAGAGCATTACACGGTAAAGCAGTGAAACTAGGACTGAAGTCCAGTTCTGATCCAGTTTACCCTCACAAATAACCTCTTATTTAGTCTCCCTACATTTAACTCTAAATACAAATTTAATCATACATTAGTTATGTGGCTTTGGGCTAAATCATTCCAAACCCTTTTCCCCAACTGTAAATGTGGACAAAAATTCCTACTAACCTCACATAAGGTTATTCTAAGAATTAAAACAAAAAGTGAAAAGACTCTGTTAACTACAAAGTAGTATACATAAATACATTTTTTTAAAAGAAGGGAGACTTTGAAGAAATTATAGAAATTATGTTTACACAGAAATATCTGGGGATTTGTAACTAAAAATCTGTAGAAAAAAGATTATCGTAGATTAGGCTTAAATATTATTTGATTTTACTATTGCCTCTAAAAGTAATTAACGATAGGCCGGGTGCAGTGGCTCACGTCTGTAATCCCAGCACTTTGGGAGGCCGAGGTGGGCAGATCACGGGAGGTCAGGAATTCAAGACCAGCCTGGCCAACATGGTAAAACCTCGTCTCTACTAAAAATACAAAAATTAGCTGGGCATGGTGGGTGGCAGGTGCCTGTAATCCCAGCTAATCGGGAGGCTGAGGCAGGAGAATCGCTTGAACCCGGGAGGCGGAGGTTGCAGTGAGCCAAGATGGCGCCACTGCACTCCAGACTGGGTGACAAGGCAAGACTCCATCTAAAAAAAAAAAAAAAAAGTAATTAACAATAACACCCGTCCTGATACGATTAAATAAAATAATATCCTATGAAAAGCTTTAAAATAAATATGTGATATATACTGCTATTTGCCCTGGCCATACTAATGAAGCAAACATCTTAGTTCCTTTTGTTATTTTACAAAAATTATCTGGGCGTGGTGTCGCATGCCTGTAATCACAGCTACTCAGGAGGCTGAGGCAGAACAATCACTTGAACCCGGGAGGCGGAGGTTGCAGTGAGCCAAGATTGCACCACTGCACTCCAACCTGGGTGACAGAGTGAGAGACTCCATCTCAAAAAAAAAAAAAAAAAAAAAAAGAAAAAGAAAAAACTCTTATCTTCAAGAGTTTCCTTCCCAATGCATCTTATCAATCCAATTAGTTTTCATTCTTAAAAAAAAAGCACACTACAGATATTTCCTACCTTTTATAACATCTAACTTTCTTATATGACATATGACGTCTTCCACAAATTGATCTCAACCTTGTATTCCTTTATTCATACACATGAGCATTTGATTCCAAGACTGGTATCTTTTTGAACACTCCTGTTTTTGACCAAGCTGGATTGACTGTGGATTTTTTCTCAGAACAAAGCGCTACAGACAGAGTGCTGGGATAATTTTCTTTGCACCTGAATCATCTGCTCCCCTACTGATGTTCAATGCCTGAAATGGCCTGTACTCATT